AAAACTAGAATATCCGAACACAGAAATCATATAAACCGCAACACACAACAAAATTCTGTCATTACCAATCATAGATTACAATTTTCTCATGATTTTAACTGGGACAATATTAAAATTCTAGACAAAGAAGTCTCTTTAAATAAAAGACTCATTTCGGAGATGATTTTTATTCGTCAACAAAAAAATAGTTTAAATTTACAAACTGACACAGAACTCCTTGACAAAACATATGATTGTTTACTTTCTCATTTTTGATTTCCATATTTTTAATGTTTTTAATTTTCTATAACAACGATTGTTAAATGTCACATTAGCACATGAACATTCGACCAGAACGATACAATCCGTTACTTCTAAATTATAACATGTAAGTGTTTTTGCATAAATATTCAAGCATCTTATAATCATAGCTAATTCATCAATTATTAATTGACTTTTACAACAATTTCATGAACTCACTTTTATACTATATATATAATAACATTTATGCAGTCTCACACACACATCTCATACATTATTGTATTTATTAGTTATACTTTTATATTTATAATCATTTTTATCATCAGTCATAATATTCACATTTAATGTTACTTTATCATAACGTTTTTCTTAAGATATATTCATTCTTTCTAGTAATCTTAATATTTTACTTTATATTTCTTATTTTCCATTTTATAATTTGACTGACCTTGTTTCCTACTTTATTTTATTTGACAACAATTTTATACAAGCCGACATTACTCAATATATTAATTCTAATCATATAGTGTTCCAGGTAGCACAATGCTTATAATGTAATAGAAGTTCTTTGAAAAGGATCCAAACTGTGGATCGAAACGTAAGAAAATTTGTACATTCACAATAAATCAAATTTATACACACATCAACATCCAGTGTTCAAGACTCGATTATTTATTGTACTTTGAATAAAATTATTATATTAAAAAATTAGTTATAGCTTAAACATTCTAATTATATGATTATAAGTACGTTCGGGGAGACGCTATTAGCGCAATTCGTGTCGTTCTATTTTTATTTTACATTTAATAAACGACAAAGATAAAACGATAGAAATAGCGTTAATAGCGTCTCCCCAAACGCACCATATGTGTTACATGTTATTATATGTGTTCTAATGGTTACATGTGGTTTTTATTTGATTCATTATAAATTTAAAATAGTTTTCATTTTAAAGTTTTTATTATAAAATTTTTTTATTAATATAATTTTTATTTTATGTGTTTAATAATAAAACTTCAGCGAATTATAGTTTCTCTTTGTCTTGTTTATTTATTCCTTTAACGTTATAAGCACACGCACGCACGCGCACGCACAAATACACACACACACACACACAGACACACACACACACACACATATATATATATATATATACATATGTATATATCGTTTTATATACATTATTTATGCATTTTCCATTCTTCGTTTCATCACTGTTTCAAATGACGCGCTTTGGTAAGCCACACCAATATGGCGCTCATTGTCCCCCCTAACGTCTGCTTATCCGGGCCAGGGGGGTATATCCTCCCTCCTGTTATTTCTTACCTCCATGGTCTGCACACAATAGGGGAATAGGAATAGATATTAGGAATAGGAATTAGGAATTATTTTGTTCTAAAATCAAAAGATCAAATGGATCAACGCACAATGAAGGAATTAAGGAATAAGAAGGATGAATAAGATATTAATTTAATAGTCGTAAACATGGCCTACCATAGTTACATGAGTTCCACAAATTCCGTAAACATGGAAAATTCCAATGTTTATGAAAATGACGTTGAAAATGAAAATGTTGGTGAATATAATAAAGAAGGAGACGAATTATTAATTGACTTAATAAATTCGTACCCACATTTATGGAACAAAGAAGATAAAGATTACAAAGACGTAAATAAATGTGACAATTCTTGGCAAGAAATAGTTACTGTAATGCATCTATCTGGTAAACATCTTATTAATAAAGAATTAATATTAGTATATGTTAAATTAAAATATTGCTTGCTTCGAATAGTGTTACGTTTATATTAGAATGTGAGAATTTATTATACGTTAGAGATTATAATCTGCATTGTAGCGCTGTCAAAATAATATTATATACTTAATATCTATACATTTTAGTAAAGGAATGTATGAGCCGATGGTGTAGATTACGACAGTACTATTCAAAGGAAAGACAAAGCCAGGAATTCATATCAAGCGGTTCTGCACCTAATAAGAAAAGACCATGGGAATTATATGAGCAAATGTCATTTATAGACAAGCATATATACAAAAGAAGGTAATATTCCACCTTTTGTTGCTCTGAAATTATAAATTATTTGCTGTAAAATTATTAGTAAATAGCAACTCATATATCAATTAAAATTTTATTTTAATTGATATATGAGTTGCTATTTCCAAGATTTGTCTATTTCATAAACTCATTTCACTTTCATACAAAAAACAAACTTGATAAAAAACAATATAAATGCTTTCCAATATAACACACAAGCGACACTGTGTATAATACAGAGTGTAGAGTCTGTGCTTTCCATCTACGACACAAGTTGACACAATCATAACAGCTAATAGTTCAGTTTGACCTGTGTCGTAGTTACCCAATTAGCATACCATATTTAAGAAACATTTTTTAAATGTTTATTCAATGTTTTTACAACTATTTTACATTAAATAAATATTTAAAAAATATTTTTTAAACATGGTATGCTGATTGGGTAGAATTAAGGCACTGGATCGTACACGTTACATAGTGTTGCTTATGTATGTTACTTGAAATCACTATACTATATATAACTAAAAATATTAAAATATTCAGGTAACTAATTATTTATTAGATTCAAGTACTAATAAAAATAGGCTATTCATATATTTCTTCTTAAGTTATTATAATCATTATTTTTATTGTTATTTTAGACGAAAATATACCAACATCAGCAGAAGTGTAAATGAGCCCTCACAGTCAAATGTAAGTTAGTGAAAAACACGCAATAAATATCTAAACTTAAGCAAAGCTAATGAGAGTAACGGCGCGATTAATAAGCCTGAAAAATTAGTAATATATTAAAATATATTATCCGAACAATTTTTTTATTATAATTGTTCAAACGTTTCGACTCACTTTTACAAGTGTCTCTACGTTAATCAAATTTAAATTTGCTATATAAGATTATTTATGTGATATTCTTGAATTTATGTATAAAGACTGCAGAAAAATATGGACAGAAATCACTTCTAAGTGATATAACTAATAAGGTAATAACATTTTTTGGTTTAAAAGTATTTTGATTAATTTTTAAATATTTAAACAGTTTTTAACTTTTAATTTGTATGTCAAGGATGATTTGCAAACTGAATCACTTATATTCACGTCGTCGACATCATCCATAGGATCGGATTCAGAAAATGTTTTTATATTCCTTTTAAGCCCTCAATCTACATCATCATCTGAACAATCAACATCATTTCAGAAAAAGATGAAACCTATAACATCGTCGGATACGCTAGAAAAATCACTTAATGTAGTATCTCAGTCTGTATCTGCAATGGCAACTCAAATGTTTTTGAATGATAATGTTAACGATAGAGATGAAGCTTTGACAAAGATGATTTTGGCCGAATTATTGAAATAACCGTGCAAACGGTACGTGTGCGTGTACTGAAGTGCGAACCGTGCCGTTGTGCTCGTCATGAGCATCGTCGCAATCATCAAAAGCAAGATTGCTGAGCCAAAAAAATCAGAATTAAGAAGAAAATTAATGAATGTTATCATGGAGTAGATGATAAACTATAAATATTTTATATAATGTAACATTATCATTTATAAGTATCATTAAAGTTCACGTATTATCTGCGTACATTATAGATATTATAAAACTATATTAATGAAGAATTAGATGAAGCATGTATTTTATTTGCGTTAAATAGTTATAATATTCTTATGAAACAGTATTAGTCAAATAAAGAAAATATTTTATTTGCGTTATGTAGGTATATTGTTATAAAACAGTATTATCGTTAAATGAAACATTTTATTTTCGTTACATAGATATAATATTCTCATGAAAGTGTATTATTATCAGATAAAAAGTATATTTTATTTGCATTATATAGATATATATTGTTATGAAACAGTATTATCGTTAGATAAATCATATACATGCTATAAAACTGTATTTATTTTGCGCTGATTATATGCGCTTATAATGCACTTTTCATAGTGGATGTTGAAAGCGCTTTTAAAGCGCTAAAAAGCTGCTGAAGTAATGTGACTGCATACGCGTCTTTTTAGCGCTTTTTAATCGCTAGTGTGCTACGTGGGAAGCATCACTCGCAATCGTCAAGCATCGTCGTAATCATCGCGGACGACGAAGTGAGTGATGCTTCTTGCTTTTATTTAATAAATTAAAAAGATGAAAAATATGTTTTGAATAATCTTTATTCAATATATAATACAATATATAATATTTATTAAAAAAATATTATATGTATATTATATATTGAATAAAGATTAAAGATTAAATTATTCAAAATATATTTTTCATCTTTTTCATTTATTAAATTATTCTGTATATTATTGCAAATCTGGATGCTCCTTTATACGTCCATTAAAAACGGTTATCGGATATCTATCGGACATGTCAGGGACGTTTTTAGTATGTCCACCAACGTCACAAACGGATGTCCTATGGACGTCCACTGAATGTCCGAAAGACTTCAAACGGATGTCCCACGGATATCCTCAATATCCATAAAGGATGTATTATGGATATCCATCGGATATCCGTGTGCTGTCTGGAATGGTACCTCTTATTGTTAGATCTTTAGAGATAAAATTTTTAAAGACTAGTTAATTAAACGATATATTTTATGGGAAATATCCATATTATATGACAAGATAGTGAAATAAATGAAGGGAGGATGTGCAATGTATCGAAGTTAGTATAAATTGTATATTTATATAGATATAAGATAGTGAAATAAATTAAGGGAGGATGTGCAATGTATCGAAGTTAGTATAAATTGTATATTTATATAGATATTTTAATATCAGTTACTTTCGTGATAATATATTATGTTAAAGTACAGATGTATCAAAAATATATATGAAAAATGATTTAAATGTTCCATACATGACGCAGGAGGAGGTTTCTTTCTTTTTTCTATTTTCTTCTTTTATATTTTATATGTATATAGATTTATAAGAAATATTTAACATTACAAAATGCGTGATATCTCAACAAAATTACCTTTTTAAAAAAAAGAAAAAAAGGCATCAAGTGTGTAAAAATAAAATGAAAAATAATATATAACAAAATATTTAAAAAATACACATAAAATTACACATAACATTTTTCACTTTTCACAATTCACGCTAGGGAAAAAGTTTCATGATCGATACCCAGATATACGTTTGTTTCATTTCAATTTATTGCACTGTATGCATGTACCATAGACATCTATACTATACTAGACCGCTATGCGCTAGCCTCCTTATATATTCCCTAGATTCGTTGTACCCAAAACTTATGTACTAAATAGTGCATTTGGCGGCGGACTTAGGACTCGATTGGGATGCAGTTTGATAAAATTCAATCCTAAAATTGAACCCTCCGCCTATGACTTATAACAGAAATGTGGCTATATATGTGTTGCCATGTGTATGTGAATGTATATGTATATGAGGTTTGTCTGTATTTTGTGGTTTAGTTCAGTAAAACCTCCAATATAAGTATATGATCTTCTCCCGATTAATGAAAAAAATATTAATATACTTTTAATTCTTGGTAATTGCGTAAATTAATTTATTAGATAATAAATAATAATAATGATAGATATAGATATGAAAGTATATTTTTTATTATTTAATTTATATTATTATTGATAGTAAACTTAGCGAGACGTACGTAGCGTAATCTAACCTATAATTTATTTTAAAAAATTGTAGCTCTTCTCTTTTTAAAAAATTTGTAAGCTTTCTTTTATTAATATTATATGCTTTTATTATTCTAATATATTGAACAGTATACTCCCATATCATAAAAGTGCACATTGGTGCAGCTGGTGTTGCTCTCTTTCTCGCGAACTGTACTTATAATTAATAATATAGTATGCTTTCACTCCTGTAGACCATTAATTATTGTATAATTGATAACATTTATGACTTTTCTATACATTACAAAATACTAAACATATATATATTGAAACACTTCGCTACTATCACGGATTACGTAGAGCAGACGACACATTCTAGAGTCCCTATACTAAGAGTCTGGCCAAGGTTGTCATCCAGTCTATTGGTTTCGACAAAATATGGCAGAGCCAATAAAGTGTCTCGAATTAATATCTTGGACGCGGTATCATTCAATTAGTAAGAATCATAGAAAGAATAAGAATAGAACAATAATATAATAAAACTGTTTTTAACTATTTTTTTAATGTGAAAATACAAATATAATTTCAATTAATGTATTCATAAATAAATAATTAAATAAATAAATAATTCATAAATAAATAATTATTTATGTTAGAAAATAGTATCGTAACTAGTTTCTATATTCACTTTAGGTAGACGTTTTAGTTTTAAACAATACAAAGTTTATTGTAACTGACTTTAATATAATGTTTTGAACACAATCAAACTAATGCTAAAATAGTCGATTTGCATCACACATAATTCGCATACTACTCTGAATAGGAATATAGAATATATAACAATATCTGATAATATCTGATATTACACATTTACAATAATAATCAATCTGTTACCTCAATCATCCGTATATCGCTCAAGATCTTACTTATCAAATAGTTAAATATTACGAATATTACAAATATCGTTCAGCGATGATGAGCTCACCATGGTCGCAGGAAAAAGAGTAAGGTCGAAACAAAAAATCATACGATTATAAACATTCTAGTATTTCGACATCGAGGCTGCGTTCCGTTTCAGGCATATGCGCGCATTTTATATAGCAAGCGTCACGTATACTATAGGGGAATGCGCGCATATGCGTGAAACGGAACGCAGCCCGAGTATCTCTTCAAACCTGTTTCATCACCAACTTCTCAAATCAAATAACCCTAGTCATTTAAATTCTAGTAATTAATAAACTCTAGTCATTTAGAATAAATCTAATCACTTTAATGATAATGAACAAACTTGAAAGCAATTATTATTTTTAACAATTTAATAGCAGCATTATTATTAAACAGCACCAGTTTTATTCAATTAGTAGGAACAGAACAATGAGATAATAAAATTATTTTTAACATTTTATTTAATGTAAAAATACAAATACAAATAAATTTTAATAGTATTCATAAGTAAACATATCCTCTAATTTACTTATAAATACATTAAAATGATATAAGTAAATTATATCATTTAATAGCAGCATCTTAGCCATAGTTTTACTACTATATAATTCTTATTTTGTAATCGTCCTTTGCTGCAATCAATTTTTATGCGAAATGTAATATACCGTTTCATTATTTTATCGAATAGTGCAATACTACATCGATCACATCACGTTTTTGGTTATGTACGACGACGCCATGTTTTGTCGAACTAGACCAAAGAACTAGACCTTGGCCAGACTCTTAGTATAGGGACTCTAACTAAAATCAATACGTCCTTTTCTACGCAAGGTCTACTCCCACTCCTCGAATGTTCAGTCTAGAGATACTATGGCTGCGTTTCGTTATTTACTGTCAGTACTGGCAGCATTGCACATACCGTTCCAATATATGTCGCAGTATGTACACCCACGGTAATTGATTCTGTCCCTCGGAAATTTTCACAAAATGAAAAGTGACCTCCTTTCTATATTAATTGTCACTATTCATGCACGATAAGATTCAGTCGTAACCATGAAGGAAGATATAAGGAGACTCCACTCGGTCTCGCCAGTCTACAAGACATGAACCCATTTTAGGTTTCGAGTTCCGTTTCCGATTCTCGACACTCGCAGCGCTCGTGAATTTAGTAGTGCTGCGCATAATGAGTGCGAGTAAGAGAAATGATCATTTCTCTTACTCGCACTCATCAGAATCGGAAGCTGAACTCGAAACCTAAAATGGGTCCACTTTTATTTTACGGAGTGGAGTCTCCTTATATCTTACTTCCTGGTCGCAATTAAAGTAAACGGAACTGAGTTGAATGCTCTAATAGATATAGGGAGCTCTCTAAGCTTCATTAATCATTCTCTTGTAGGAAGATGCCGTATAAACCCGTTACCATACCTTGGCAAGATTACGATGGCAAATTCCTCTCTATCATCAGATATAATAGGACGATGTATAGCAGATGTGGAAATAGGAGGAAATACTTACAAAGATGTTGCGATATTGGTAATGAAAGATCTCTGCTCAGATGTTATAATTGGCCATGACATCTTACAACGTCACAATTCGGTAAACATAGTTTTCCAGGGCCCGCTACCCTCTCTCTCAATCT